AAGGAAGCGAAGTCAGTCAAATCAAAACAACACAACACTAGTACCTGCCACTCTGCCAGCCATCCTCTTTAGCTTTCCCCTTGTTCCCCTTCTCTCTCTCACTCTCTCACTCGCCGGAGGAGCACCGTGCGGCGGCGCCGACTCCACCGTCCAGGTTTCCTCCTCGCCGGTGGCCGCGTCGGAGGTCGGCGCACCGCTCCTGATTGGGTCACTCTTCTTACATTCTAGAAGAGAATGGTTAGTCCTTACATTCTAGGGGTTCGCATCCCCTGCCTTTGAAGCCGACGGCCCAGTTTGCCGTTGCTTCTATCCTGCCCATTTATCTTTTAATCAATGGATGCATGTCTTCGTCCCATGTCATGGACAATTAACAGTCAATTAATTGATACAATCAATTGTGTTAATTAGATCGATTTAAAACACAAACAATCATTAGCATTGCTAAACATATTTAAAAAAAATCCTTACAATACTTTTACGAACAAAGTTCTCAATATTTGATTTGACTATAAGAATTATAGAAAAAATATACTCAAGTACAACTGAAACATTTTTTTCCTGAATACTCCCTCCGTCCAAAAAAAAGACAAACCCTGGTTTCCGTGTCTAACATTTGACTGTTCGTCTTATTTAAAAAAATTATGAAAAAAATTAAAAAGACAAGTCGCGCATAAAATATTAATCATGTTTTATCATCTAACAACAATGAAAATACGAATTATAAAAAAATTTCATATAAGACGTACGGTCAAAGTTGGACACGGAAACCTATAGTTTGTCTTTTTTTGGGACGGAGGGAGTAAATGTTAGAGAGACAGTTGTGGGTTGTTTAATACGGAGGTGGGATAATTATTTTCTTCATGTTTCTAAATGAATGGATATCAAATATATTTTTTTGGCTATCTTTGTTTTTTTTCCTGGTTTACCGGCCGCTTGAGATTGTTTTCTTCAATTTCTCTAATTAAATGCTGCTAGTTAGTCACGATTGATGGAAGCGGTTGATTGAATGAGGGATGGCGTGGATGAAAGCAACGGCAAACTTTGCCTTTTGCCACAAAGGCAGAGGATGCGAACCCACATTCATTCTAGAAGAGAATCTTTACATTTCAGAAATGATTATTTCCTTATGCTCTAAGGAAACTAATGCTGGTTCACTCACAAAACCAGAAAAAATACAGTAGAGCTACTTCTTTACAGTATGAACACCTTTTTCTACCAATTTTTTTTTTAAATCTCTAACTAGCAGGACTGCCCAAGACCAAACTAGCATGTTTCGTGCACAACTACAAAATAATATTAGAGAAACTACTATCATTGTGTAATTATATACCCTCCAAAATATTATTGACATGTATTTATGTTCTGAACCATAGTAATCTAGGGATTTTACTTTTAAATTCATCTAGGCATAATGTTTCTATAATGTGTGGCTAAATTGAAGTATTATCTGAATCCACTCATAGTTCCTTTTTGTTGTATTTTTCGAATTATTTGTTCTTCATTTTGGTAACTTTGTATTCATACTTCCATGCCTTTTTAACCATACTTCTTCAGAACATTTATTACCCATACATTTAAAAACTTTTTTGTGTATGTCAAGACAGCAAGGCTACTGTGACAATTTCACTTCACACTTTGTAAACTTCAACGTGAAATTCTTTTGCAATGGAGGGATAGAATATGTTGATTTCTTGGTAACATACTAACATCAATACAAAATTCTGAATAAAACGTAGATGCACCTCTAAATTCACTCGATATACGTATAAAATTCCTAGTTCAGTATACTCAATGCCAAGCATATAAAAGGGGGAAAACCTGACAAACAATAATCAAAGGCAAACAATGGAGACAAGTAAAGGCTGTATCTTATCTAGTGATGTCTTGTTTTTTTTTACCATCTCTTAGTATACTTATTATTACTAGTATGATTACAATGGAAACAAATACTTGCACACACATGCATTGACAAGCGACAAACTGACACATAGATTCTTGTTACAACTTAGCAGAGCATTGGAGAGATCCAGATTATAAGTGCCAAATTGAACATGAATTCAACAACGGATGGCTTGGTACAATTATGGAATGAGTGGGAAATCCAGTTAGTGGTGCTCCTCAGCTTCATCTTGCAAATCTTCCTCTTCTTCACTGGCAGAATCAGACGGTGCAATATTAACATGTTGCTCAGACTTATCATATGGTTAGCTTATGTGGGGGCAGACATGGTTGCAGTATATGCCCTTGGCCTCATCTCCCAAAATGTTCAGAGTGTCAATATATCATCAGTTGGATTCAGTAGGAGTAGCAACCAACTAGCATTCTTCTGGGTACCTTTCCTCCTTATCCATCTTGGCGGGCAGGACACCATGACCGCTTTCTCCATCAAGGACAACAATTTGTGGTTGAGGCACCTGCTGAACTTGTGCATCCAGGTCTTCCTAGCCTTATACGCCTTTTGGAAATCGACAGGTCGACACAACCTTCAACTTCTAGCTCCAGCCATTCTCATGTTTCATACTGGAATAATCAGGTATGGCGAGAGGACGTGGGCGCTGAAGTGTGGTAGCAGAAATGGCCTCAGGGAAACAAGTTGGCAATTGCCAAAACTGAATGTTGAGGTTGACAAAGGAAGCTACATTGACACAATCTGCTATGTTCTACAATCAATTCTTTGTGTCCATGATCTGTTTTCGGGACGCACCATCTCACAAATGAAAGAGCGTCAAGTCTTCAGATTCCAAGGAGACAGGCCCCTGGAGCAAGTACCCAAGTTGCTGGAGATTGAGCTTGCCATGATGTCTGATGATCTCTACACCAAGGCCATGGTGCTTCAGACAAGGAGTGGCATTATACTCCGGTTCATCAGCCATGTCTTTATGATTGCGGCATTTGTGCTTTTCCTAATTGCAAGCAACAAACATTAGTACAAAAGAGTTGACATTGCGATCACCTATGTATTATTCATCGGTGGCTTTGTTCTCGATGTTTGCTCCTTCTTCCTCGTTGCGATGTCACCATGGACATGGGCATTTTTCAGAGCTCAAAACTGTAATAGGCTAGTCCACATATCTTGGCTAATTCTGTGTAGTTGTATTGGTTGGCCGGAGAAGAAGCCACTGTGGTCGAGTTCCATGGGATAGTACAACTTCTTGAGCTCCTCCATAGGATTTGATGAGTCAAGGTCATCATCCAAGATGTTTACTATTCTAAGAAAGATGCTGAATGCGGTTAACAAGAAGCTCTGGTTCAGAAAGATATGGCACATTAAGCATGTCAAGGTTGACAAGGACATCATGGACATCATGGTGACATGGGTGGGGCGGCTCGCTCGCGAAGAGTTTACAAGGATCACACAGCAGCAAAGCTGGGCAAATCTTCGACCAATTATCAACTGCACACTGAATATCCCAGCTAATTCTTTCGGCGATAACATTGTCCTGTTGCATATATACACGGACTTGCACTTGCGAAAACAGCCTGACAACGAGGCCACTGGTGCAGAGAGCGAGACGGCATCAAGCAGCACTGCTGATATCATGGACATATGCAGAAAGATATCCAACTACATTGTCTACCTCTTGGTTGCCCAGCCTTCCATGTTGCCACTTAGTGGCGCTGCCGATGACACAACAGCAGCATTCTACGAGAAGATCAGCAAGAAAGGAAGTAGCAAACAGGATGTTCTGGAGACCTGTTACCAGCTAGTGGAAGATCAGCTGGAGTTTGGTTACGAAGAATGCCTGAAAGAGCAAGAACAACCTGGGCCGTGGTGCGAGACGCTGATGGAGATCAGAGATATGTGGCTGAGGCTCCTCATTTACATTGCCGGCAAGTGCCAGGTAGAGCTGCACGCGCAGCAGCTGGGCAGAGGAGGGGAGCTCCTCACCTTCGTCTGGTTGCTCATGGCGCATCATGACATTGGAGATGTTGCACACCAGGTTGACTTGATAACTAGTAGCGAGACGATGTCCAGGCAGTTTTGTGCATTCCATTTTCCTAAGGAATCAGAGCGATAGATTTCATAGGTAGCTCAATCATTTCACATCTGGTCAGGTGGATCATAGATTTCTTGAGGTTTGTTGTCGGCCTAAGAAGGCGAAATGCTTGGGGCTGTGTTGATGGCTAGCTCCTCTCTTACCAGTTTAGGCAAGATGGTGGCATAGTCACATTAACTGAGGTTCTCATATGTCACCCTTAGGCGCAGCAGTAATGGGATGTTTTGCTGAGTTGTGAGGTTTTCCCTTATAGGGAATCTACTTTTTTTTTTAAAAAAAAAGACAGAAGCTCAATTTTGCATCAAATTGAAGAGTAAAATATAGGGGCCAGCTAGAAATTTCAGTAGTACAATCATAAACAATCTGAAAAACCACACCCAAAGCAAACAATTGACAACAGGCAAAACAAATATAGATTGATGATCAGTAATTTACCAGTCGCTTTCCCTAGCTAGCCTTCATAGTAAGGCGTCATCCTGAATTGACCGAGCAACCTGCTCAAGGTCATAACAAACATAGTAGAAAATATGACTGTTACGCTCCTTCCAAATGTTCCCCCAACAAGCATAAATAAGAATGCCATAAGACTTCTTCTATAAATGAAATGATACCCAAGATGCCTAAAACTTCCGGTATGAGATCCATATGAAATCCTTTTGCATAGTAGTCCATCTTTATATCCATTTACAGTAAATTTTAGATAGGGAGAGACGGAGTTTCAATAATTGTAGTTTTGGACAAGCAACTAGTCAATCTGATAAACCTTTGAGTATCAATAGGTTCTTAAGTATTTATATTTGATACATGAAAGTCATACATTCAGTATACAGATTTATTTTAACCAACGCTCAGTTTTTCATATATGCTCAGTTTCGAAGAAAATAAAATAAACAGTGGATGCAAGTGTGTCGGTTATTCACTTGTCTTGAGTGAGAATGGAGGAACAACTATGCATTGCCTATCTATACCCACTTGCGGATATTGAGGCCGGATTTCTATCCATTATCTCAAAAAGCTATGCTTACTTACACGCTCTAGAATTTTCTTTCTTGTCTTGAGTGAGCTTCCATCTTCTACTGCCTGTTCCTGATGCTTACCAATACCCCTGTTTTGTTCACCATCATGATCTGTGCTCCCCATCTTTTCTTTTACCATTTGTCCTGCCCTGTGTCTTTCGATTTCAACTTGGAGATTGCTGGGAAGGACACTGGTAACATTCCTGACAGCAGCCTCTGTGACCTCAACCTCACAAGGTCTTGCATCTATACAATCTATACCGATACGGAGATGCCTGAGGGAAGATATGTGTTCAATGCCTATGTCAAAATCTCCAGATGGAGGACCTGCTCCTTGTGCTTTTATGTCAAAAAGAAACTTCTGAAGCTTAGGCATGGCCCCAACCTCAAATTTTATTGGCCCCATCTCAATCCTCCAAAAACCAAAGTAGAATTCTTTCAAATGTTTGAATCCAACATTATGTATGATAAATCTTCTCTTGGAGACTACTGTTTTTGTCCACAGCCAGAGAGTAATGAGAGAAGGCAAGTTCCCAAGAATCCTAAAAGCCTCCTCGTCCACAGGATTAACCTTAATATCTAGGAATGTGACCTTAGAAAGCGAGGCTATCCAGTCTGGAATTCTTGGAAAATAGTATTCTGTGTACATATCAAACTTCTGAAGGAGATGAGGAGGACAGGACCAAGAATTCAACAAGAAACCGAGAGAGCATCCTTGACTGCCTTCTGATCGGATACGCAGATACTGAAGCTTGTGCTTGCAGAGCTTGATGATGGATGAACCAAAGCTTTCTGTGTAACTTTTCATATCACTGCACATATCACCAATGCACCAATTTATATCAAGATATCTTAGTTCAGTCAAACTGCCCATTTCATGCAACGTCGTTGATGGGGCACTAGTGTTAACTTTTATCCATGACAGTTTCTGCAAAGCCTTCATATTTCCAACTCCTTCTGGCAGGCTCGTGTAATCAGCACGTAAAAACATCAGATTCTTAAGCCGAGTAATACTTTTGGGTAATCCATTTATCTTAGTATGCTCTAGCTCTAGTGTCTCCTGTTGTTGTAGTTCGCCTATTTCCTCAGGAAGCTTGCTGATACTTACTTCACTGAGCCTTAGGTATTTCAACTGAAACAATCTACCTATACCATTAAGGTAGTAATTTTCCAATGTATCATTATTTTCTATGTTAATCACGCGCAAAGACTGAAAGTCCGAAATAGGTGGCATATGATTAGTCGACCCATAAACAGTTAGTGAACGGGTACATGAAACAACCCTTTTTGAAGGAATTGTATTACCTTCTTGATGATGAAAGTTAAGGGACAGCCGACGAACCTTATCTTGTAGGCCGCACACACGATTATGGTAACCAATAAATGTTATGAAATTTTCTTCAATCGACTTAGACACAATAAGATCAAGAACCATATCATGTATGCGGCAAGTGTTAGCTCGATCATCATATTTGATTCCCACCACTTGTATCAAGCTCCTGCTAATTAGCTCGTTAAAATAGTCTTCACCCACTTCCTCTAAACTGCATCCACTTTCGGTAGCAATGAAACCTTCAGCTATCCATCTCCGTACTAGTCGATCCCTTTCTATTATGCAATCTTCTGGAAATGTACTGAGGTACAGTAAACATGTCTTAAGATGATGTGGAAGGTCAGCATAACTAAGAGATAGGATTTTTTGCATCCGATTCACAATGGGATCATTTTCAACAATAGAATCTCGATACTTCTCCCATTGTTCTTTTGTTTGTGGTTTATTTACCAACAAACTGGCCATTGTGATGATAGCCAATGGTAAACCACCACATTTTCTTAATATGCCATTTGATACCTCTTTTAAGTGAGGAGGGCAACTGTCTCCTGATCCAAATATTCTTTTGAGAAATAACTTTTCAGCATGAACAGCAGTAAGATGTTTCATTTCAAAAACTTTATCTTGGTCAGCAGGACAACATGATTGTGCCACATAACTGATTTGTGTTGTGGCTAATACTCTACTACCAATATTACTGTCCAGCAAAACACATCTGATTGTTTGCCAGTCTGTGGTACTCCAGATATCATCAATTACAATAAAGTACCTATTTTGCATTTTATCATGGAAGTATGTGTTAGTAAAACTACAGTAGTACATGATTAAGAGGTATATATTGTTCAAGGATCTGAATGATCATCATATACAATCCAAAGAAGTAGCTATTTTATTTCAAGATTGATATGTAGAACAGTAAAAGTAGGTAATACCTTTTACAATTGATGAAATCCCTCAGTTTGTTGATGAGCCGCTCCTCATCCCATGCTTCAATTCCTATGTACTCCACCCCGGTGACACTAATTAGTATATTTCTGAATACTTTTCTCATATCAGGTTTCTGGGACACTGACACAAATGCTTGGCAATCAAATTGTCTTCCAATTTTGTCATATACTTGACGGGCAAGAGTGGTCTTCCCTAAACCTCCGGGTCCCCAAATGGATACTACCTTTAGCTTTTGAACCAAGTCACCATCCCCTTCTGTCAACCACTTGATGATATCATTGGTTGGTTCATCAATACCAACTAGGCTTTCTGCCTCTGCATATAGTGCTGGTAACCGAGGGTCAACAGGTACAATAGCACTAGAACTTGTGATGGCTGGATCAATGTTGTACCTCTTGAATCGCTCACTTGCGCTATCAACGCGAGCCTTCAGCTTCAGTATGTCGTTCGAGATTGCGTGACGAGCTCCAAGTGTCCTCACCTGGTGAATTACCTTTCTGAAGAAACATTTCGTATTAGAGCTGTCTGAGCTACAATTGACTCGGTGCATGAAACCGTCAATGCAATCCTCGATGTCGTAGGAGAGCTCTCGGATTTGGATCCTCCATTCCTTGACCTGAACATCGAGTTCTTCAATATCTGACAGCTTCAGGAGGAAAGCATTCATGCTGCTTAGCTCGTCCTTGAGGGAGATAATCTCGTCGCGCACACCCTTCAGCTTGCTGTACTCCTTCTCCATCAGGGTGGAGATCTTCTCGAGTACGGCACTCGCAACACCCGTCGCAACGCTCACCATGGCATGCTCCATGATCAGAGTAGTATCTGAGAATTGCTATATGTCGTGGGTGTTAATACGGTCTCTGCATCAAGCAAACACTCTCAAGGAAGGTAATGGTTTTGGGTGGGTTAGCTCTGGTGACAATGAGAAAAGGGAGGTTGTGTCTCTCTCAATAGTTTTTATTACTTTGCTTGTAGCCTGGTTCTAGCACACACAAATGGCAAGATCAAACACAGAGGGTGAATACCACAGTTTTGCTTTTCAAGAACTCTGCCAGCATGTCCCTGTCTATGCCTTTGCATTGTCAGATACTGAAGATCGATGGGTATTTGTTGGATCCTGGGGGATATGTAGTCCTCTGAGCTAAGTGATGTAAGCATAAATCAATGAAAAACATATATGAGGGCAGTCTAAGGTGATTAATTTATTAGTTAAATACAACCATGTTTAGAAACTTCTAATATATATGTGAGTAAATGATTTGGTCTTTGAGGTAAACCAACTATTTTGTGAACTTAATGGTAAGTTTGCTTGATAGGTTTGCAAGACTCGCAAATGAGTAGTCACAAGTAGATAGTCCACAAAGCTGTTTAGTAGTTGTACATTGAAAATTATTTCTTTGTAACTTCTTAAATATATGTTACCATTCATAACTTGACTTATAGCTTAGCTTACAACACTGGATTTTGACAAATGCAAACCGCATTTATCATGGCATACTCAATGTTCCTTCTGATTGTACATTTCACAGTCACACAAAGTTAAACATTACAATACTTACCATTCACTGTAATAGTTTTTAGTTAGCAATTACTGATTTATGAACTAAGTAGACACAATTTTTAGTAGGGTAGTGATGTAGTTGTATTGTTCTCATTAACTTTCATAGCTGATACCTTTGTTTAGACCAAATCAACATGGCAATGTGTGCTCATAAAAAATGGATGCTTTCAGGACAATTTCCTGTGTGTGAAGCACATGGTTTGGTAACTACAAGATGAAGGCATCAGCCTTTTCTTTTTCATCAAATTGCACATTGTAAAGTATTTCGTCTTTGTCAACCAGAGTTATCCTATCTACTATTCCTATAGAAGTATCACCGTTAGCTGCTTCCACATCATCAGCTAATTAGAGCAGTTGGATTAGTTCATATCATGGTTCGAAATTTCAGCCCCCACCAGCAAGCACAAATCTCCCTGAAATTTTCAGTTTTTTGTCAAATATTTTTAAATTTAGTCAAAATTTGTTCAAATTCAGTCAAAATATGCTAAGAGTTCAAATAATTTCAGTCAGAATAACCCGGAAACTTCTCCAAAGATATGTTAACAAGAATCAGTAATAATGTCCTTAACTACCCCAATTAGCCCTCTTATATCATTCAAATACCTGGGTATTAATTAATACCCCTGCTCATATGTCATTCAAATACCTGGGTTTGAAGTCTCATCCCTTCTAATTATTTGATATTAGTTCATTTCCTAATATTCGTGTTTTTTTAATACTGTTAAAACAATTGTCTTCTCCATAGTGGTCTTCTGACGGTGGATTATTGGTGGTTGGTGGAGGATCAAGGCACAGCCAGCATGGCCGCTGGCCGGCATTCTCCAGCAGTATGAGTGTATAACCTGCAGTAGCTGTCCATGTTAATGCTGTACCTTGCAAACGCTGATGATAGTTCTACACGAGGTAATCACTAGCACGCGATATGATCAACGGTTCACTCGTGCCTAGAAACGTACGTAACAAGACTACAACGCGACGTCAGCACGAATTACGAAGTAAACTGGGCCACCGAATCCACTGAAGTTCTTCATCGGGGCATTCTGGACCGTGCGATCAGTTTTACAGCCAGTGAACCGGTATCTCAGCCCCGGTAGATTCCAGGCGGGCCGTAAGTGCCGCCGCATATAGAAAAACCGAGCGACCGGGCCGGGTCACTCCCGTGCGGGCGTGTAATATGACCGCACGCGATGATGCATGGGCTATATAGCCACAGCCTAACCCTGCCCCATTTTAGCTTGGTGTTTTCTCTCTCCTAAACTTGACACAAATTGGGGGGAGGGGGAGGATTCAACCTCAAAATCTTTGCTTCGAATCTATATAAAAGGTGACATCCTTGTTGTCCTCCTTCATTTGCTATCGTTTATTTTAATTATTATCGGTGCAATGCGATGAAAATTGCACTTTTCTAAATGCAGTAGTGTAGGCACTTTGAGTGTTTTTTTAGCTAAGATATATTGTTTGCATGGCATGTTTTTAAAAGTATTTAGTAGTCCATACCTTTTTAATGGATACTTTGTTAGGTTTGCCTTTATTTATTTCAATTTTCATGGGATAAAAGAGAATATTTTTACACTTTTTGAAATGGACAATTTTTTATTGAATAAATATATTATTTCATGTATAAATTTGAATAGTATTTAGTAGTGCATAGTACTTTAATTTAATCTTTGCTTAGGTTCAATCATTTATTTCAAAAAATTTTAGTGGTATGCGACGAATATACTATTTGTTTAGTATCCTCAATTTATTTCATTTTTATAGTGGAATGCGACGAATGTACTAGTTTTGCAAATGTAGTAATTATAGGTAATTTTTAATTTTTTAAATTAATGTTATTGGAATCACTAGAGTGTGAAGACTAATATAATAGTACAATTCGACTCATAAAAGATGTTTTTTAGAGATGGATCGGGTATGGATGTACGACACAAACAAAATTCATCCGACATTTTTGAAGGAAGCATTTGATCAGGCAAAGGCACAAGCTTTGAGGGAGAACATGAGGGATATTTTTTGTCCATGCTTTGATTACGAAGATCAGCTGGAGTTTGGTTACGAAGAATGCCTGAAAGAGCAGGCACAACCTGGGCCGTGGCGCGAGACACTGATGGAGATCAGAGATATGTGGCTAAGGCTCCTCATTTACGTTGCCGGCAAGTGCCAGGTAACTATTGTAATTTTTTTTTCGGGGAAAGTATTGTAATGTTTAACTTTGTGTGACTGAAATGTACAATATCAGAAGGAACATTGCGCATGCCATGATAGATGTAGTTTGCATTTGTCAGAATCCAATATTGTAAGCTAAGCTATAAGGCTGTGTTTGTTACTCAGGGTTACCAACCCTTCTCCCTCGTTTTTCGTGCGCACGCTTTTCAAACGGCTAAACGGTATGTTTTTTTAAAAAAGTTTCTATACGAAAGTTGCTTAAAAAATCAAATTAATCTATTTTTTTAAAAAAACTAATATTTAATTAATAGCTTCGTTTTCTATGCGGAGGGAAAGAGTTCCCATCTAGGATCTCTGAACGCAGCTTGTCAAATTATGAATAGTAACATATATATATTTAAAAAGTTACAGAGAAATAATTTTCAATGAACAACTACTTAACAACTATCTATTTGTGACTACCCATTTGTGAGTCTTGCAAACCTATCAAGTAATTTACCATTCAATTCACAAAATAGTTGGTTGACATGAAAGACCAAATCATATTATTCACATATTAGAAGTTTCTAAATATATGGTTGTATTTAATTAATAAATTAATCATAATCAGACTGCCCTCATATATGTTTTTCATTAACTAATGCTTAAATCACTTAGCTCAGAGGACTATATATCCTCCAGGATCCAAACAAATACCCATCGATCTTCAGTATTTGACAATTCAAAGATATAGAGAGTGACATGCTGGGAAATTTCTTGAAACGCAAAACTGTGGTATTCACCCTCTGTGTTTGCTCTTGCCATTTGTATGCTAGAACCAGGCTACAAGCAAAGTGATATAAGGGCTCCACACTGATTAAGGTAGTAGACATACATGAGATTTACCTCTCTATTAATGTAGAGAACTATGATACATTTGTACTTCTATACTAGTCATGTCTAATATACTCTTAACATGCACATACTTACAACATAGAACTTAGTTCTAGGTAGTGGCGTATTTAGGATTTAAGATATGGGTGGTCCGAATCATTTTTTTATACACCATAAATGTAATGACGCTAATATATACTCCCTCCATCCATAAAAGTTACATCTATTACTTTTGCCACCAGGACCAAGGAGAAATTAAATCATCTTGGATGTTACAAAATCAAGGAGTGAATGCAACTATGCAACTAATGAGTATTTAGATAACTCCATGGGTTCTAATCAAACATTTAATTTATCTGTTTATTTAAGTCTTGAATGCATAAAGCCTATAAATAGGAACAACTTAATTGGAAAAACTCCAATGTGAAATATACGTAACTTTTGTGGATGGAGGGAGTACAATACAAGTATACCTAATATAATAGGACAAAATCTAAATCAAGAGACATCTCGTTTTCGTGCTAACGAGAGACACCTCTTTTTGTCTGGATATAGTCTGAAAGAATTAACTATAATACTAGTCTATCAAGTAAGTAGAAAATATCTTCCTACCACATATGCTTCAAATAAATTTTTCATTTAAATTACAAATCCAATTTATGATCTGATTACACCATTGTGTTCGTAACAATTAAATGTTTATAACAAGATTTCACATGATTATATTTTGATGAAAAATTACAAATTACTTTTACAATATATCTAAATTACTTTTAGATTTCACTAAATTACTTCCTAGACATATAAAAGTAAATTTAAAAGTAATTTACATATATTATGGAAGTAACTTAGAAAAAAATAAAGTAACTTTATCACAACACTAAAAGTAAATCCATTGTACGAATAAAAATATTGGTCTATCTAGAAATAAAATGTAATCACCACAAATTATGAAAATCAACTCAGAGCATTATGAATGTAAAAGAAGTAATTTAATCAAATCTAAAAGTAATTTATATATATGATAAAAGTAACGTACATATATAATAAAAGTAATTTAAAAACATAAATATTTTTCATCATACTATAATCATGTAAGATCTTATTATAAAGATTTAATTAGAACGAACACAATGGTGTAATCGGATTGTTGATCGGATAAATAATTTAAGAGAAAAATTTATTTGAAATTTAAATGGGTAACGGGG